TGTTGATCTTACTTCAAGGCTGCTTGTACCGATAATTGTCTTGCAAAATCATAATCGATACAACATTATGGAAAAGGGCCATAATTACAGTATTGATATAGAAAGAATTGAGGCAGAGGTTTGTAATTTCCTTTAGGGCACACTACCTATTTTTGTTAATTCAGTTTGAAAATTGTCGTATGGATTTTCTAGAATTGTGGTTGTGTAATTTAGTAAGAACATTATGCAACTGCTACATTTTTTCATACCTCAGGTGAAGAGTATGCTTCATGATGGGCAAGAATTAGTAATTATTGGGGGTGCACATTCATTACATCGCCATGAGAAGCTGGCAATTGCTGTTTCAAAAGCTACACGTGGACATTCCCTGCAGGAAACCAAGAATGATGGTCGTTTCCTTGTTCATACCAAGACATATCTGGATGGTGCTATTTTAAAAGAAGTGAGTGCTGACTTGTACTCTTTGTTGCTTAAAGCTACCGCTTTCAACTTCTCGTATGATTTCACCTGGGCAATGTGATTTGTTCATTTTCATGGGGTAATTATTGGAAAAAATTGCACTAACCTTGTAAGTTGTAGATCACGAGTATCAGTTTGTAACCCCTTTTTGTTAAATTGACAAATTTGAATGCTTAGTAGTGCTGCTCATGTCCTTTTATCCTAAGCGATCTTTAGAAGAACCTCCAGAATTCAATACCCACATAGTTGAAGTAAATAGATCCGTAACTAAGATGAATGCAAATTAGTTTTATCACTTTCTTAGCTATTTATATATGGGTAATGGACTTGAAACCTCATTTTACAGGAGATGGAACGTTCTGCCGATGTGCTTGCTGCTGGATTGCTTGAAGTGGCTGACCCATCTCTTTCAAGTAAATATTTCCTCCGCCAGAATTGGATGGATGAATCTGACGAGTCAACTGATTCTATTCTTAAGCATAAGCCTCTTTGGGCTTCATATAACTCAAAATATGGCGGGAAAAGGAAAAAGAAAGTAAAGAAACAAGGGGATCTACAACCAACATATGGAACTAGAGTAATTCCTGTGTGCGTACACTGCTATCTTTTGCCTAGATGAACACTGAAATACAACCGTAACATCATAGTGTCTTTGTTCTTGTATACTCATATTTAATCATAGTTTTATAGAACACCTTCTTTTGTACTTTTATTATTTTCAACCGATCTTCTACTTAGGTCAATTAGGACACTTGAGGTGAACCTAGGCATTGCAGTTAGATACTTTGGACTTCGTGAAGTTGGTACCTAAAATTTGGTGGCGTTCTGCAAAATGAAAAGGAATACTCAAATAATTCGAACTTGAAAGACAAAAAAAGTTATCCCCTAAATATATTGATTATATGTAGCTCCCAACATACAAAAATATATTTATTTCTATTTAACAATGATTGATCAAAGTTGAAAAATTGTTAGAAAAGACATCTTAGAGTTGAACTTTTGTAAGGAATGTTTTGGAAGTAATCCTGTGTTGATCTATTATGTCAATCAATCACCAAATTGGAAGATTTAAATGCTTGTGATTAGATCATTATATTCATTCTGATGGTTTTTTGAAATGAAATGCATCATATTGCAATTGTTATATGAAAATATATTTTGATTGCTATTGATGGCGTAATTTTTGTTTCAGAACCAATTCAACTAAAATTTCCAAATGTAATGCTTTTTAATACGCAGCTTTGTGCTATCACTGGCGGATGTGGATCCAAACCTTATGATGGAGGATGAAAGTATGGTATGGACAAGCAATGATGTTGTAATTGTGCTTGAGCATCAAAATGAAAAGATTCCCTTGAGGTGAGTAATGTTCAGATATCCAGTTCTTTCAAATTGAAGATTAGTACATACTACTGTAGACATTTTGATGCGTATACGGGAGAGGGAGGAAGGAATAAATGGGTTGTGCACTGCTTATTTTGACTAATTCCTAACTGGCAACATCTATACTATTGTAGGCTCTATGAAAACTGTCTTGTGTTTCTATGCGGAACCTCTAATCCTTTTTGTCCACAAAGTTTCCACATCTCAATTTAATAGTTCCAATGATCTATACCTTTTGATTATGTTAGTAGGGAGAGTTGAACTTACAATCTCTCTCACTCTCCTGTTCAACCCACCAAGCCAACCTTATAACTTTCAAATATTAGTAGGGGAGTTGAACTCAAACTCTCTCAAATGTTGCTAATGTATTGTGATACAATCCATTAGTTACTTTTTTAGGAAGCAAAGTCTACTCTCATTTCATGCTGACTGTCTATTTGGATAGTTCGACTCAGAAACCATTTCAAACTCTGCTTTCAATTACCTTCGGTTTCTTGATTATTTATCAGTTTTGTTTTGTAAAAGTTAACACCACTCTTAATTTCCTTGTTTGACAGCTACGTTTCAGAAACACAGAGAAGGCATGCTCTTCCATCTCAGGCACAACGTCATATATTGGCTGGTCTTGCCTCAGTTGTAGGTGGTTTAAGTGCACCATATGAGAAGGCTTCTCATGTACATGAAAGACCTGTTGTAAATTGGCTTTGGGCAGCTGGCTGCCATCCATTTGGACCATTCTCTAATACTTCTCACATCAGTCAAATGCTCCAAGATGTTGCTTTGGTTAGTGCTCTCTCAGTATGCCCAAGTGAATTTTATTTACCAGAAGGCATTTCTCTAATTATCTTTTTGTTTATTGACAGAGGAACTCGATATATGCCCGTGTTGACTCTGTACTTCGTAAAATTCGTGATACATCAGAGGTAAGTCATGCTTCATTTGAGTTTAAATAAATACCTGTACTTGATTCCTGAAATTACCTGTCAATTCTGTGCAGACTGTGCAAACTTTTGCAGCAGAGTATCTGAAAACTCCACTTGGTGAACCAGTAAAAGGAAAGAAAGAAAAGTCCAGCACTGATTTTTGGTTAGAGAAGTTCTACAAGAAAACTACTAATTTGCCAGAACCCTTTCCACATGAATTAGTTGATCGCTTAGAAAAATATCTTGATGTAAGCTTTACTTGAATGGAGTTCTTGACCTGATTTTGCAGACATTTGTATTCTTAACAGATAGCAATTTGTGTGCGTACACCAGGGCCTTGAGGAGCAGCTTGTTGATATGTCTTCTCTGTTATATGATCATCGGCTACAGGATGCCTACTTAAACAGTTCAGATATTCTGCAGAGCACCATGTTCACCCAACAGTAAGTTACCCTGTATTTTAGAACTTCTTCATTTGTGTTGTCAAAATGGGAAGAAGTCATATTCTAGTAAACTGATGTTTTTCCCCTTGATACTGTTCTAGTAGGCTATTTACAATTTTGTGAATTGCAGATATGTTGATCATGTCTTGGCCAGCGAGAGGGATAATATGAGATGCTGCAAAATTGAGTACAAATATCCCGTGCACTCGTCTCAAACTTATGTCTATGGGGGGATACTTATTGCTGGATTCGTTGTGTACTTTGTTGTAATTTTCTTCTCAAATCCGGTACGCTGACTGAAGATTTTGAAATCAACAACCAAAAACTACCAAGGCATATCACATTGGGTAGAACTTATCTTTGCAATACCAAAATCAAATATCGGATACGATTTTGAATTCATAGCGATAAATGCAGGGCAAAAGACATTGGCTAGATTATATATTTTGGTAGGTACTGGCAGGGGCTTCAGCTTTAGTTTCCTGATATTCCTGAAGCAGTAATAGCTGAAGAAATTTTCGTGTGCATTATTCAATTCGTTGCAAACACCTGTGATAACTGAAACCCTAAATTTAATGAAGATTCGAATGAATTTGGAAGCAAAGGAATAACTCCAAAATGTTCATATAATGTGGAAAAAAAAACAACTACAACACGTTTCTGTGCATCTAATATATTTGAACACAAAATTAGGAAAATAAGTAAGATCTTTCATTTAGATATAACATTACTCCATAATCAAATGCTTCATTGACAGTTCCTTGCTCTAACGATGCGTTGTTAATAGAAGTTTAATCTGTTAATAATTTAAGCATTTGGTTTTAAGTGGATAGTGCATGTAATTGTGAGCTTTGACTTTGGCTCATTTGAAGTGTAAATCTGCTAGATCTGTCAAGGTCATAGTTTTTATGGCTTGGAGGGGGTACTTGTAGGAAGATCAAGGACGGCTCCGAAGAGGTACGTACCATCTGCACTGACTGTCATTTTTCGTACTTGTATGAACTTGCAAGATTGGATATCCACTTTGATCAATAGGTATATCTGGTATATGTGCTCAATAATATATAGTTATAGTGGATTGCATCTAACATATAACTATGGAGGGCTGCATCTGATATATAAAAGTACGGAGGGTTGCAGGTGGGCTAAAGTTATTTCAGCTCTGTCAAAAGTTAGATGTAAAATGAATGATTTTCAGGGAAGACCAAGCACATGTTTTGGGTGGCAGGAAAATAGGTGGTGTATGGTGACGGTAGTTAGGAAGATAGGTTCATTGAAGTAGTGATGTTCGATTCTGATCATATCAGCTACATTTTGTACTGTGATCTGCGTGCTGGGTGGTTGCGTATTCGGCTTGCTTGGAAACCATAATTGTGTCTGGGCTAATAAAGAAAGTGGAGCTAGTGTGGTAAGGGTGAAGTTCTATACTGCGAATCCTTAGGATTGGATGAGTCTAATGTGGACAGTTTTTCTCCTTGCACCTGAATTAGAAGGTTGGTAACTCTTTAAAAGCACTGGGGATATAAAAAATGCAATGGCGGAATAGGTGAGAAAGAGAAATGTAGTGTTGAGGGACCTGCTACGAAATCTTATGTTCCTGAGCTACCCTGCCTAAAAATATAGAATGATAGCAAAATCAGTGAGATAAAAGCATCTCCAGCAGGTGACGGCTTACTGAGGCGGAAGGGAGAAGGAAGGAAAACGTCTCTAAAAAGATTTACAAAGGTAGGAAAGACCGAAAAAATTAGACGGGGAAGACCGGATATAATNGTATTGTTATTCATTTGTTTAGGTTTGAAACTGTTGATCTTACTTCAAGGCTGCTTGTACCGATAATTGTCTTGCAAAATCATAATCGATACAACATTATGGAAAAGGGCCATAATTACAGTATTGATATAGAAAGAATTGAGGCAGAGGTTTGTAATTTCCTTTAGGGCACACTACCTATTTTTGTTAATTCAGTTTGAAAATTGTCGTATGGATTTTCTAGAATTGTGGTTGTGTAATTTAGTAAGAACATTATGCAACTGCTACATTTTTTCATACCTCAGGTGAAGAGTATGCTTCATGATGGGCAAGAATTAGTAATTATTGGGGGTGCACATTCATTACATCGCCATGAGAAGCTGGCAATTGCTGTTTCAAAAGCTACACGTGGACATTCCCTGCAGGAAACCAAGAATGATGGTCGTTTCCTTGTTCATACCAAGACATATCTGGATGGTGCTATTTTAAAAGAAGTGAGTGCTGACTTGTACTCTTTGTTGCTTAAAGCCATCGCTTTCAACTTCTCGTATGATTTCACCTGGGCAATGTGATTTGTTCATTTTCATGGGGTAATTATTGGAAAAAATTGCACTAACCTTGTAAGTTGTAGATCACGAGTATCAGTTTGTAACCCCTTTTTGTTAAATTGACAAATTTGAATGCTTAGTAGTGCTGCTCATGTCCTTTTATCCTAAGCGATCTTTAGAAGAACCTCCAGAATTCAATACCCACATAGTTGAAGTAAATAGATCCGTAACTAAGATGAATGCAAATTAGTTTTATCACTTTCTTAGCTATTTATATATGGGTAATGGACTTGAAACCTCATTTTACAGGAGATGGAACGTTCTGCCGATGTGCTTGCTGCTGGATTGCTTGAAGTGGCTGACCCATCTCTTTCAAGTAAATATTTCCTCCGCCAGAATTGGATGGATGAATCTGACGAGTCAACTGATTCTATTCTTAAGCATAAGCCTCTTTGGGCTTCATATAACTCAAAATATGGCGGGAAAAGGAAAAAGAAAGTAAAGAAACAAGGGGATCTACAACCAACATATGGAACTAGAGTAATTCCTGTGTGCGTACACTGCTATCTTTTGCCTAGATGAACACTGAAATACAACCGTAACATCATAGTGTCTTTGTTATTGTATAATCATATTTAATCATAGTTTTATAAAACACCTTCTTTTGTACTTTTATTATTTTCAACCGATCTTCTACTTAGGTCAATTAGGACAATTGAGGTGAACCTAGGCATTGCAGTTAGATACTTTGGACTTCGTGAAGTTGGTACCTAAAATTTGGTGGCGTTCTGCAAAATGAAAAGGAATACTCAAATAATTCGAACTTGAAAGACAAAAAAAGTTATACCCTAAATATATTGATTATATGTAGCTCCCAACATACAAAAATATATTTATTTCTATTTAACAATGATTGATCAAAGTTGAAAAATTGTTAGAAAAGACATCTTAGAGTTGAACTTTTGTAAGGAATGTTTTGGAAGTAATCCTGTGTTGATCTATTATGTCAATCAATCACCAAATTGGAAGATTTAAATGCTTGTGATTAGATCATTATATTCATTCTGATGGTTTTTTGAAATGAAATGCATCATATTGCAATTGTTATATGAAAATATATTTTGATTGCTATTGATGGCGTAATTTTTGTTTCAGAACCAATTCAACTAAAATTTCCAAATGTAATGCTTTTTAATACGCAGCTTTGTGCTATCACTGGCGGATGTGGATCCAAACCTTATGATGGAGGATGAAAGTATGGTATGGACAAGCAATGATGTTGTAATTGTGCTTGAGCATCAAAATGAAAAGATTCCCTTGAGGTGAGTAATGTTCAGATATCCAGTTCTTTCAAATTGAAGATTAGTACATACTACTGTAGACATTTTGATGCGTATACGGGAGAGGGAGGAAGGAATAAATGGGTTGTGCACTGCTTATTTTGACTAATTCCTAACTGGCAACATCTATACTATTGTAGGCTCTATGAAAACTGTCTTGTGTTTCTATGCGGAACCTCTAATCCTTTTTGTCCACAAAGTTTCCACATCTCAATTTAATAGTTCCAATGATCTATACCTTTTGATTATGTTAGTAGGGAGAGTTGAACTTACAATCTCTCTCACTCTCCTGTTCAACCCACCAAGCCAACCTTATAACTTTCAAATATTAGTAGGGGAGTTGAACTCAAACTCTCTCAAATGTTGCTAATGTATTGTGATACAATCCATTAGTTACTTTTTTAGGAAGCAAAGTCTACTCTCATTTCATGCTGACTGTCTATTTGGATAGTTCGACTCAGAAACCATTTCAAACTCTGCTTTCAATTACCTTCGGTTTCTTGATTATTTATCAGTTTTGTTTTGTAAAAGTTAACACCACTCTTAATTTCCTTGTTTGACAGCTACGTTTCAGAAACACAGAGAAGGCATGCTCTTCCATCTCAGGCACAACGTCATATATTGGCTGGTCTTGCCTCAGTTGTAGGTGGTTTAAGTGCACCATATGAGAAGGCTTCTCATGTACATGAAAGACCTGTTGTAAATTGGCTTTGGGCAGCTGGCTGCCATCCATTTGGACCATTCTCTAATACTTCTCACATCAGTCAAATGCTCCAAGATGTTGCTTTGGTTAGTGCTCTCTCAGTATGCCCAAGTGAATTTTATTTACCAGAAGGCATTTCTCTAATTATCTTTTTGTTTATTGACAGAGGAACTCGATATATGCCCGTGTTGACTCTGTACTTCGTAAAATTCGTGATACATCAGAGGTAAGTCATGCTTCATTTGAGTTTAAATAAATACCTGTACTTGATTCCTGAAATTACCTGTCAATTCTGTGCAGACTGTGCAAACTTTTGCAGCAGAGTATCTGAAAACTCCACTTGGTGAACCAGTAAAAGGAAAGAAAGAAAAGTCCAGCACTGATTTTTGGTTAGAGAAGTTCTACAAGAAAACTACTAATTTGCCAGAACCCTTTCCACATGAATTAGTTGATCGCTTAGAAAAATATCTTGATGTAAGCTTTACTTGAATGGAGTTCTTGACCTGATTTTGCAGACATTTGTATTCTTAACAGATAGCAATTTGTGTGCGTACACCAGGGCCTTGAGGAGCAGCTTGTTGATATGTCTTCTCTGTTATATGATCATCGGCTACAGGATGCCTACTTAAACAGTTCAGATATTCTGCAGAGCACCATGTTCACCCAACAGTAAGTTACCCTGTATTTTAGAACTTCTTCATTTGTGTTGTCAAAATGGGAAGAAGTCATATTCTAGTAAACTGATGTTTTTCCCCTTGATACTGTTCTAGTAGGCTATTTACAATTTTGTGAATTGCAGATATGTTGATCATGTCTTGGCCAGCGAGAGGGATAATATGAGATGCTGCAAAATTGAGTACAAATATCCCGTGCACTCGTCTCAAACTTATATCTATGGGGGGATACTTATTGCTGGATTCGTTGTGTACTTTGTTGTAATTTTCTTCTCAAATCCGGTACGCTGACTGAAGATTTTGAAATCAACAACCAAAAACTACCAAGGCATATCACATTGGGTAGAACTTATCTTTGCAATACCAAAATCAAATATCGGATACGATTTTGAATTCATAGCGATAAATGCAGGGCAAAAGACATTGGCTAGATTATATATTTTGGTAGGTACTGGCAGGGGCTTCAGCTTTAGTTTCCTGATATTCCTGAAGCAGTAATAGCTGAAGAAATTTTCGTGTGCATTATTCAATTCGTTGCAAACACCTGTGATAACTGAAACCCTAAATTTAATGAAGATTCGAATGAATTTGGAAGCAAAGGAATAACTCCAAAATGTTCATATAATGTGGAAAAAAAAACAACTACAACACGTTTCTGTGCATCTAATATATTTGAACACAAAATTAGGAAAATAAGTAAGATCTTTCATTTAGATATAACATTACTCCATAATCAAATGCTTCATTGACAGTTCCTTGCTCTAACGATGCGTTGTTAATAGAAGTTTAATCTGTTAATAATTTAAGCATTTGGTTTTAAGTGGATAGTGCATGTAATTGTGAGCTTTGACTTTGGCTCATTTGAAGTGTAAATCTGCTAGATCTGTCAAGGTCATAGTTTTTATGGCTTGGAGGGGGTACTTGTAGGAAGATCAAGGACGGCTCCGAAGAGGTACGTACCATCTGCACTGACTGTCATTTTTCGTACTTGTATGAACTTGCAAGATTGGATATCCACTTTGATCAATAGGTATATCTGGTATATGTGCTCAATAATATATAGTTATAGTGGATTGCATCTAACATATAACTATGGAGGGCTGCATCTGATATATAAAAGTACGGAGGGTTGCAGGTGGGCTAAAGTTATTTCAGCTCTGTCAAAAGTTAGATGTAAAATGAATGATTTTCAGGGAAGACCAAGCACATGTTTTGGGTGGCAGGAAAATAGGTGGTGTATGGTGACGGTAGTTAGGAAGATAGGTTCATTGAAGTAGTGATGTTCGATTCTGATCATATCAGCTACATTTTGTACTGTGATCTGCGTGCTGGGTGGTTGCGTATTCGGCTTGCTTGGAAACCATAATTGTGTCTGGGCTAATAAAGAAAGTGGAGCTAGTGTGGTAAGGGTGAAGTTCTATACTGCGAATCCTTAGGATTGGATGAGTCTAATGTGGACAGTTTTTCTCCTTGCACCTGAATTAGAAGGTTGGTAACTCTTTAAAAGCACTGGGGATATAAAAAATGCAATGGCGGAATAGGTGAGAAAGAGAAATGTAGTGTTGAGGGACCTGCTACGAAATCTTATGTTCCTGAGCTACCCTGCCTAAAAATATAGAATGATAGCAAAATCAGTGAGATAAAAGCATCTCCAGCAGGTGACGGCTTACTGAGGCGGAAGGGAGAAGGAAGGAAAACGTCTCTAAAAAGATTTACAAAGGTAGGAAAGACCGAAAAAATTAGACGGGGAAGACCGGATATAATTAAAATTTCAAAAAATGCTAATTAACTTCTAATTAATTTTTCACAAAATATTAATTCTTTTAATTAATGTATATTAATAAATGATTAGATATATAAATCGGTTTCTCAAATATGAATACGCGAGATTTTTCATTAACAATTTTATAAATATATAGTTGAAAATTTTATTTACTCGTAATACAAGCTTTTTTATTAAATACAAAAAAGAAAGTTAACTATTTATTAAAGATCAAACACTGATACAAGGATCTGTATGCAAGAAACTATATATCATTTAAAGAGTAAATTGGGCATTTGCTCGTAAATGTCATTTGTATCAAAATTATAAATCAAAATAAGTTGTAAAAAGATGAAGTTTGGATTAGGATAATGTATATATTGAAGATATTGAATTTTTTTTTAACTAAAACAAAATTAGGTGTATTTCATTTATATATAATGTGGCGTAATAGAACCTCCATTTTTGAACGAAAACCATTTGCGTGAGTTGCTCCATTAGTTCTTTGTTGCTGCATTTAGGATGAAGTTTGGATTGATGTATCAGAACCATTCTTCTAGCGAATCAAATTTCGGACAAAAAAGAAGATTAAACTGCTTTTGGAGTCAGGATTCAACATCATTGATTTTGTAAATGCATTTTTTTCTGCAAAATGTTTCTATCTATTGGAGCTTTTCAGTATATGTCTATTGTTGTTGAAGCATTTTAGGTATCAAATTGGCAGATCTGTCTCACAGGCTCACAGCGAGTGGGATGTTCATTAAGACAACTGTAAAAATATTAGTATATTTCTTGAAACTGTTTTTTAATGATTCATTTCCTTTTGATTTAAAATGGTAATCTTTTATTAGTACTGCATAGACAAAAATCGCAGTCCAATATACTCATTAACTTCGGCAACTCAGCTAAGTCAATGATAATTTTCTTCCTTGCTTGCGAGTTAAAAATACTACTTACAGAAATATATTTTTATTTCTATACTTTTTTAATTTGTAATTGATTATTATATATTCAAATAAATAAAATTTTAAATTTTGCTGTTCCGTTGCCGAACTTAGATAAAGTTGGGTGCACTGTACCACACATGACACAAATTTGAAAGGCTAATCAATTTCTTCTCTATTTTTTTAAATAGATTCTGCTGTCTGACGCTTTTAAAACTATGTTAAAAAAATAATTGCACATAAATTCAAATGGGGAAGTTCATGGAACTAAATCAAAGGCTCATAAGAAAAATGATAGATAAATTGTGTTCTTTCATTTATATTAAGTAATATAAATGAAAACACAACGACTGCATTCTTTGAAAAGAATAACAAAACACAAAAGAACACAAATATGTACTTAACAAACCACGAAAACACAGAAAAGAAAAGAATAACAAAACACAAAAGAACACAAATAGGTCGTTAACGTCAAAAAATTCGGAAGAGAAAGTAGTAGTCAGACATAGCTTTCTAGGCTAGCATTATGCATCAATATACTGCTCAGAGCCCAGTGCATATTTCATCATTCAGATCTATTTTCCCTTTTCCTCACACTCCCCAAAAATCACAATTATACGCACATATTACGTTAACCCTAAATCATAAACCCAAAAACAAAAACAACAAAAAGAACTATACATCTTTGAAGGTTTGGATAGGATCCTCAGCAGTATGCTTATAGTTGTCATCAAATTAGACAATCAGGTCTCAAAGATTTCATGCCATCATTGGATCCCACAACTCTAAAATCCAATCAAATAAAAATAAATAAAGTAATAAAGAGAAATAAAACAACAAAACCAATCTTTTGGAAGATTAATATCTAGAAAAAGGTGATTTGGCAGTTCAATAATTCACTGCGCCTGGAATTAACAAACGAAGGCGAAGCGACTCAACATTCCTGCGAAAATGTACGCCTCTTTCATCATTGATAACGAGATAACCCATGACACATGACCTACGAATCAAAAGCATCTCAAGAGGCAAATGGAAAAGAGAAAAAGAACGAAAATTTCAAGTAGCTTTGTCATTCATAGATTTGCTTGGAATCACAAAAAGATGGGTTTTCTGCAACCTTTGGGAGGTAACCCTGTTCTCTGGTCTGACTTATATAACGGGAGAATTAGAATTAGGGTTTCACTCTCTAGGAATAGACTAAAAAGCCTCCCTTATTTTTTTAGTTACGGATTTGTCCTTTGCGCCTTTTTCTTTTTATTGGGTCCAACCAAAAGCCCTTTCATCCTAGAAGCCTAAACTTTGAATGGGCTGGCCCATTTTGGATTCTGGCCCACAATAATTTATATATTTTAGAGATATTTAAACAATATCTAATTATTTAAAACTTAAAATTAATTATAAAAAACAAATCAAACTTTGGTCCGCCCGTGGATTTATTTCCCACCACAACTTAATAATTTATTTAATAATCCATTGGATATTTTAGACTTTAGTTCATAATTATAATTATTTGCTATCATCCACACTATTCTAAGATTTTGTCTTCAGTTAAGTTTTGGTAGGAAGATAATAATCTCATCACAAACATATTTCAATTTAACATAATCCCATCAAAATTCTATTAACTTGTTCCAGGCAATAATATATTTGAAACCATCTAATTTAATACACATATAAATAAATTAGCATCATACTCCATTTCCTAATATTAAAAAAAAGAAATAGAAAAATGGATTGAATCAATAATAAAGAAAAATGAGAACTTATTCCGATCTTGATTCACATTAATCTATGTAGAGTCGCCTATTAAGTGGTGTGATGTGTTTGTAAAACAAATAATTAATCAATTAATGATCTATATAAATTATATTTCTAGACATAGGAAGTTTAAATGAAGTAAAAACATAATCACTATAAATTTCTATTATTCAATGTTATTTAATATAAATTGTTATTTAACAAAGAAAATATAGTTTTTAAATTTGTTATTATATTAAACCTCAAAAATATTTCATCCTATGTCTAATATTATTTATAATCGATTTCAATCATAGTAATAACGAAAGAAAGTGAAAAATAAGATTGGTTGAATTAGAAAAAAAATTAAACATAATTAGAAAATTTAAGTTATATGTGATTGGTACAATAATATAAAGTTTTTATATATTTCATATATATATAATTTTCAAATATATATTGAAGATAACATAAATTTAGAATAAAAACTATCATTAACTATTAATGAATAAAATGGTTATATTTTAAAATAATAATATATTAAAATAAATTGCTTCATAAAACATGACAAAATTAAATTAATTAAATTTATTTTATTTATTGTTAAATATTTTATTTCAATTATCTGTTTTTAATAAAACATGTATAAAGAAAATATTATATTTATATTATAAATTATTTTAATATTTTATTCTAGTTATTCGTTTATCATAATACAATAAAATATAATAATAGCGTAGTTATTGACATTATTACAATTATGTTATAATTAATTATATTAATAAAAAAATTGATTAAATAGAGGATAATCGATTATACCATTTTTTATAATCATTTATTATTAATCGATTATCTTTTTTGTCATACAAAATTTTCAGCTTTCGTTTTCATTGAGTCGGTATCAGTAGTATTTCAATAAATCTAAAGAGTGTGTAAAAGACGTATTCAATTCAAACAATAAACAAATTAAGAGAAAACCGACAAAAAAGCATAAGCACAAACCATGTGACGTTATTGACTAGTTACGGATTTGCCACGTCCACCGTCTACACGTTTTAACAACTCTTTTCAAGGCGTTTTCTTTTACACAGAAAAGGAAAATATTAAAACGTTTAGAATTATGTTTATGTGCAAAATTTAATAAATTGCAAGGAAAATTAGTTACAAAAGCAGGAAAGTGTAGTGAGGTTTTGGACATTTTATGCGTTTAAGGCAATTTACATTTGGATATACATGAATTATCAAATCACCGCAAAATAATTATTAATGTTTTTAAATTGAGATTAAAGAAAAAGATTGAAAACTATATAATGAATTTAATTAGTTGATAGATGATTAATTATGAAGTTATTATTTTATAAATTAAAAATAATATTGAAATATATTTAAATTAGTAGTTATCATTGAGGTACAATACTTTTCTACTTATCAATTTTAAATAAAAATATATAATAAAAAATTAATTAAAAACTGAAAATTCTGAGTAAATTACGATATAAAAGTAACAAAATTTAAAAATGAACTAGATTACATTAGAGTAACGATATATTTGATTCAATTATAAAGTGTTAAAATGGACTGTAATTTTATTATAAATTTAAAATATTAATTTATATATTATTTTTTATATTACTTTTTTAAGAATTTAAAAAATCATTTTCAAAATTAATAATATATTAAAAATATAAAACATCGTTATTTTAATATTAGAAATTTAAAGTATAAATAAAGTTTTTATAAACAAGTTTTATTATTTATAAATATATTTTTCTAAAAAAAATTCAATAGCGTTCTTTATTTGCTTTAGATTTTCAAATTTCCAGTATAAATTTTTTTAAATTGGAGACTATTAAAATGATAATTGTGATAAAATCTTTATTTCTAACAAATCGCTTTCTTAATTTTAATAAGTTAAATTTTAATTTTTTTTTTATTTTGTTGTTCAAGTTGATTCTTCATTTACATGTAAATTTTTTTGTCTATATGTTCTTTTAGAATCATTTATACAATTCTTTGTTGATTAGTAGTTTTAATGACATACCCTGATCATGATTATATGGTTCGAATGATTGTTTCGTGTTTGATTGTTGCTTGAGTTTATAAGACTATGAGAACTTAGAATATGAGCAATTGAGTAAATTAACAAGTTTCAATAGGTAAAAATTTGTTTTGAACCAACTCGTTGAAGAAGATTTACCAATATAAGCAATTGACCAAGTATAAGTTCACTTGAAATCACAACAATGTTTTGTTATCAACTGATATAACATTAAATGGTGTTGTACAACGTGTTGAGCGTTTATCTGGAAGTATTTTAGCTTCAAGTGGTTAAGTGTCGCTAAACATTCAATTTTGCGAATGCTTTTGATGTTTGGTGGTAGCATGACACTACTAAGTACCATCTTACATTACTGGTATGAAACAATTTAGTTTAAAAACACCAGATGACAAAAAATCAACAAAATGAATAACGTGTCACAAATTTAATAATTTATTAATGAGTATATTTATTATGTTATTAGTATAAAAGTATATAAAAATAATAATAAAAATAAACGAAAAAACATAAATTTACTTAAGATTATTTTTATGTAATGATTTTTTGGTATAAAATTTGTAGGAACAAGTAGTTTAAATTTAATTGGAATTATTGTATAGCTTGTTTCAATCCTTCAATATCACTTTATGTTAGGTTTAACATAGTATATTGGTGAAGACGAGGTTCTTATCCTTCAATATCATATCCTTCTTATTGTTGTTACTATGCATTTAATAGTTTTACATTATTTAAAAAGTAAAAAATAATTAAAAAAATTTAAAAAGTAAAAATTAATTAAAAAAACAGGTGAATGGAAAAATGAAGGAGAAGAGCCTTTGGTCAAGTTCGAGATTGGAGAAACTTTCCTGAAGACTGAATTCTTCCAATTATCACGTTAACATCGTCCAATGAATGTTAACATATTTAACCTTAAAAAAATAATAACACTTGGCTAAAAATATATTTTAATAATTGAAATTTTAACTTATTTTTTAATCATATTTAATACTCGTTCACTTTTAGGTATTTTTTAAATCATATTTAATACTCGTTCTCTTTTACGTCTTTCTGAGCAGTGTCGATGAAAGTTCTAGAATTGGAAAAGAAAATAGAAAGGGCAATGACGTCAGCACATACGTAACATAGTCAGAGCATGAGGTCAAATAACCTTGCAGCTCAAGCCCCGTGATGCCTTCTCCCAAAAATGTGGGCCCTAAAATCTCGGAGTTTCCTCTATTTAACGCAAAGATACCCTTTCTCCTCTCTCAACAACCACACAACCCCAAACACACAAATTCCTGTTCCTCGAATCATCGTCCGAACACCACACAACAAACCATGTGCCCTTCTGGTCGCCTCCTCAGCCCCCACGCCGCTGCCGCCGATTTCCGTCCCGCATTCGAAGTCCTCGACGCCGATCGCGACGGCAAAATAAGCCGCGACGACCTCCGCGCCTTCTACGCCGGCGTTCATGGCGGAGTCGGCGGCGGAGATGAGTTAATTGGGGCAATGATGACGGTGGCCGACACGAACAAGGACGGGTTCGTGGAGTACGAGGAGTTCGAGCGCGTGGTGACGGGAAACGCGGAGACAATACCCGTGGGTGGTGGAGCCATGGAGGACGTGTTCAAGGTCATGGACAAGGACGGCGACGGCAAGCTCAGCCACCATGACCTCAAGACGTATATGGCCTGGGCGGGTTTTCCGGCCACCGACGAAGACATCAACGCGATGATACGCCTCGGCGGCGGCGACAAGAATGGCGGCGTGACGTTCGATGGTTTGCTTCGTATATTAGCCCTTGATTCTGCCGCTGCTCACTGATTGATTTGTTTAACCGAGAACATGTTCGGGAAATTGTGTGAACGAATGAATAGAAAATAAAAGTTTTGCTAAAGGCCATTTGTCATTTTTCCTGGCTTCGTGTTCTTAATTTTCTATAACTTTATTTGTGTGAGGACACCATTTTCGTTCGTGTTGCCAGCAGTGTTGCATGTGTA